GCAGAAAGCTCCAAATGAGGCTTACTTATTTAAAAGGTGCTACTTAGTACAAGGAACTATTCTTGGTGGTAAGCCAGGGTTCTAGCTCCACAGTCGTTAGGAACTCAGCTCCATCTATTGTTTTGTATCTTGTTCTATCTTCATCAACATCTGACTTTTGCTTCCCATTCAAAGCAAGAAGGAGGAAGAAGGACCAAAGAGGACCGTTGTCTCCCTTTAGTTCTGAAAGTTGCAAGTTGCCATTCCCTTTGTAATGCCTTGGTCAGAATGTAGCTACAGGAAGGTTGACATTAAGCAAAGTATTAAAGTTCCTGAGTTATCCACCAAATCCCTAAATTAAAGGACACCATCTCAAGGTCAACAGAATTTTCTCAATATTTAAGCATGCTGGAACTCATTATCCACTTAGTTGGTTATATAGTTGTTTTTTTTTTTTTTTTTGTTTTTTTTTTTTTTTTTGTTTTTTTTTTTTTTTTTGTTTTTTTTTTTTTTTTTGTTTTTTTTTTTTTTTTTGTTTTTTTTTTTTTTTTTGTTTTTTTTTTTTTTTTTGTTTTTTTTTTTTTTTTTGTTTTTTTTTTTTTTTTTGTTTTTTTTTTTTTTTTTGTTTTTTTTTTTTTTTTTGTTTTTTTTTTTTTTTTTGTTTTTTTTTTTTTTTTTGTTTTTTTTTTTTTTTTTGTTTTTTTTTTTTTTTTTGTTTTTTTTTTTTTTTTTGTTTTTTTTTTTTTTTTTGTTTTTTTTTTTTTTTTTGTTTTTTTTTTTTTTTTTGTTTTTTTTTTTTTTTTTGTTTTTTTTTTTTTTTTTGTTTTTTTTTTTTTTTTTGTTTTTTTTTTTTTTTTTGTTTTTTTTTTTTTTTTTGTTTTTTTTTTTTTTTTTGTTTTTTTTTTTTTTTTTGTTTTTTTTTTTTTTTCTGTTGTTGTTGGTCTTCCTTCTGCCCTCAGCTGCCTCCTTCACATCTGGTCTTCATTGTGAGAAATGACTCATCAGCACATTTCTATCAGAGAGTAAAGAAGGGAAAGCATGTGTGTGGCATTAGATTTCAAATCATTGGAATTGCTTTTTATTACAACTGGTAGCAATGAATGAAATGGATAATTTAAAATAAAATGATAATGTGTCCAGTCTTGGTAATGTAATGCTCTGTGATATTGAGGCCACATAGAACAGGCTTGAGCGCATAGCCCAAAGTTTCCTTATAATGTCACACAAGTCTACAAGCGCATGTGTTGACTGGCTGAGGCTGGGGTTAGATTGCGGTATGAGGATCCTATTGTATGTAATTTTGTTTCTCATGGAAGATATATATATATATATATATATAATTAAAAAGTAATGACTCTAATTCTACCAATTCTATAAATTCTCATCTATCTCTGATTTTGATTTACTGCAAGGATCTTAAAATATCACTTTTACTTATACTTAGTTCAATTATGTTGTTATTTTGGGAAGTTTCATATGTCCAAAGTGATCCATCATTTCCTTCCTCCTTTTTGACATATTCTGAATGAAGTTAAGAACAGTGTCATACAGGACCACTCAGCCCTTGGGAAATACATTTTATTTTGATTTTTTTTTTCCAGGTGCTTACATTTTTGTTCACATCCCTCAGCCTGGGGAGTACTTGCTTTTGGCATCAACTGATTGCCAACACTTAGGCTCATGTTGCTTCACTTGTTTATCTTTAAAGGCAGCTGTTTTCATTTCAACAACGGCCAGTTTTGAGAAATGGATATCCTATTACCTAAGTGTAAAAATATCTTTGGCTCATAGAGAATGAGATAAACTTTGGTTTTGGAATGGAAATGAGCTTTCTTGTTGAGACCCATCAAATCTACACAAAGCTGGCCTGAAGAGCTGGACACTCTCAGCCGTTGTTACTGGTTGGTATGCACACCAGCACTGATATTTCACCCTGCTGGGAAAGGCATGATGTTTTGTCAAGTAGGAGGTCTGGTTGCACGTGTGGGGTAGCAGCAAACTACTGACAATTTCTGCATGGGCAGTGAAAGGGTGTGTTTGCTTAACACGGAGAACCCTAATGCTGAAGGAACTCCTTAGAGAGAGTGTCACTGGTGATTTGAAACTGGGCTATGTAGAATCAGTGTCAAAATCATCTGCCATACCACAGTGATCACAGCATCTCTGGAGTTTTTCCTCTTCCTTACTTTCTGCATAATTTCTGTTTGAAGAAAGGGGTTCTTGACTAAACTAAATAATAGAAGTAGGAATTCAATTTGGTTTCCTCATTGGGGAAAATGGAGAATTGCTGCCCAAGGTCACATGCGGTTCGGAGGAGCCCCACAGGAATAGGGAGTAAGAAGTAGTCAATGGTCTCACCAGCCTTAACATGTCCTCCTTTTTTCCTGTGCTCTTTCTAGCCTGTCTACTCTGGGTCCACAGCTTCTTCCCTGAATAACGCTTTTCTTGATTATACAAGAAAAACAGGACATTGTCTCCAGAAAGCTAGTAAAAAAGGTCACATCTTACCTGTTGAGCTTCTCCTAGACAAATGTCCTCTAAGATTTGCTGAGGACTGGTGTTACCTGAAAGGCTGACTCAGCTGGGTATTGATCCAAATTCTTATCCAGAAGATCTTCTAGAGCTGATCCTTTCCACTTCTCACATGAGAATTTTTCAGGCACAAGATGAACCCCACCCTCACCTCCATGCCACCAACTAAATGAGATTCAGTCTGACTCAGCTAAAATGCTGGTTCTGTTGCTTACCAGCTGTGAAATTTTGAACAAACCATTTAACTTCTCTGAGTCTCATTAAAAAATGGCAATAATAAGACTTACCTCATTCAGTTATTGTTAAAACCAAATGATAATTGATGGAATCCAAAAGAGTTTGACATAGGCCAGACTCTTGTTAGGCACCTTGATGATAGGTAGCTGTTAGTGTCTGTGCTGCTGTGTTGTTGCCCAGTGGTTATGTTTCAGGGCCCACACACACATAAGTGGCAAAAAGGTGCAAGTAAGGGTAATGAATCTCAATTGTCTAGGAACTTTAGACTGTAGGCTGAAGAAGATAGACTTGAGAAGGTCATGTTTAAGGAAACTGTACCTCAAACTAGGCTGCATCTAATTAGTAGCCAATTTCTAATTAGTGACCTATATTATTAGTCTGGGCAGAAACCTACCCTGTTTACCAGAAATCCAATAGGACATAGTACATATGAGAGAAGAGTAGAGTAAGGGTAAGAGGCAGAGCTTTGGACAATTCTCTAAGCAAAAGAGGAGCTTCCATAGCCTATCCTAGAAGCTGTGGGCATGTTGAAAAGCATTCCCAAACACACATGAAATCTTGTCATTTATAGAATCTTCTACTGTCTGTTCACTTTCCTTGCTATCTTGATCACTTTCTTAGGTGCTGGGTATAAGGCTATAGGAAATGTCCTTCCAGCCCTTTAGCTGCTTAAAGCCTCATTGGAGAGCCACTCAAGGATGTAGCATGAAATGACAACAGTGTGGAAAGTGCCAAAGTGGAGGTATAACCCAGAAGCTGTAGAGAATAGTCTCTAAGCAGCATAGAGGTGAGGAGGAATGTTCAGGAGCACATCACCTACTCTGCCTCAGAAAACTAGCTGACTTTGCCATCAAGCTTTGGAGATAAAGGCATAGTACTGGCTTCTTGTACTTTCTAGAATTGCTCAGCAGGCACGTTTCTCCTGTCAAATCTGCAATGACTCTTCAGGACCCAGCAGGGTCAGCCCATCAATATACAATCAGTCCTCTCTCTTAACTCATTCTCTTCAGCACCCAGTTCAAATCCTACCATGTCTGCAAACTTCTGCCACTAGCTGTAACAGGACTGATATCTCTCTCCTGAGGAATTGTGTGAAAGCTGATAATGACATTTTCTTATGTTCATGTAGTATTACAATTAGATTGGCTGTTGTGTAAGGACAATGGCCATGGCATTTACTGCATAAGGAGGGTAGAGGGGCATGTACTGCGAAAGCCCATTAGATAAATGTTGTTGCTGTACTGGAATCTGACAGACTCTGCTGGATCTGGGATCTGTTATTATGAGACTTTGGGAAAATTGCTTAATCTCTTAAACCTCAGCTTCTTATCTATACAATGATGATATATCAAGGCTTATTTTATGAAATGATTATCACAATAAACTGAGATATTGTGGTATGTGCTTATCATAGGACCTGAACTTTAGCAAGAACTTCATGTAGATTTTGTTGAAAATTTTAAAATACTTTTATGCATTTACCAGACCTTATCTCTCATTTCTACATTTCCTCATATATGACCATTTACTGAAATAACTTACCTGACCATTTGCTGGAAAAAAATGAATTAACTTGATGGACTTTAAAATGTCTTTTTCAAAAAAATGCTCATGTTAGCTAATTTGGTCTATTATAATAAAATGCAAATGATTGGATGTCTTAAACAGAAGTTTATTCCCACTGTTCTGGAGACGAGAAGCCCAAAAAGTATGGGAAGTGTCTTATCTGCTTCTTTTATGGACACTAATCCTATCTATGCTTGGGAATAATGGGACCTAATTACTATCTGAAGACCTTATCCCTGAACGCCAATGTATTGGGAATTAAGGCTTCAACATATGAATTTGCCAGAGGGAGGCTATATTAAACATTCAATCCACGGCAACTCTCCTTCTCAACATTGAGGGATAAAAGGTAGGAGATGGAGAATTTAAAGTAGCTATTCAGCCTGAAGTGCAGAATCCTGCTTCAAGTGAAAAGGCTGAGGACTGCAGTTTGCCAATTAAAGTGAGCATAGGCCTCCCTGAGGGGTCCAACACCCAGGGGAAAGACTCTGAACAGGTGTGGGCCAAGTGAAGGAGGAGACCAAGATACCAAGGACTTTGTGAAGACACTTGTCTGCTGGTCACCCCATTATATAAGGCCAATCTCTACCTGGCAAGGACAGAAAGGGATTGAGAGATGTTGGTTAGACCTAATCCATGTTGATAGGTTTCCTGTATTGAGCCCCTCTTGCTAATGTCCCTTCTAGAAAACACAAGTCCACGTTGGCTCAAGTGTGGCCGACTACTGGCTACAGATTTGAATGCAAGTTGTACATTCCCATGAGCTTCAGAAAAGAGATGAGTAGGTGATAGGGAAACTGAAATGGGTGCAGAGAGTTAGAACCCATTGATAAAATCTTTGGCAAGTTCTTAGGGTATTCATATTTCTATTGATACATACAAAGTAAGCAGAAAAGGAAAATTAAAAAAAAATTATCCTGCCACAAATAATGGTTCAATATCTTCCTATTTATAAATTTTCTTCCAAAAGTTACACAATTCTAGATTATTTTTAAAAAGTATTATCACAAAGTACAGTTTTGTTATTTACAAGTAAAGCTCACAATAATAGAATAATAGAATTCGATAGGGTGAACTTATTTAAGGCTATGATGACATTTTCATTTCTATATTATGTGCTCTAACTTTGCAGACAGTGAAATTGAAGAATCAGGAAGGGCCATACAGCAAGTCAGTGGACCCAGCTCCACTATTGAAATGGCACTGGGGGAGAAGGGAAGATATGATTTAGTTGTTGCAATTCAGTGTCTGAGGCAGGGCTCCAGAAGGGGCCTTCTAGATACTGCAAGACCAGCACAAATGAGTGGTAATTGTGGGTGACAGAGGGTTAATTCAGTACAGGAAAGAACTTCCCAACAAAGCAAGATGTTCTGCATTGGCGAGCAACCCCATCACCCCCACTCCAAGTATTCAGGTAGAGGCTGGATGGCCATTATCAGAGATTAGGAAGGAGATATCTGCTCCAGTGGTAGAATTCAAGGGGGCAGAAGAGGGAGAAGCAGGAAGTATGTGTCTTCCTCACAGGAATCTTCAAAGACTGAGAAGTTGCCAGCCCAGGCTTCTTTCCTTACTCACTGCCCTGCTCAATTCATCTTTCCCAATTCTCTAAGACATTCTGAGCCCATTAAAACTATTTACCGTTGCCACCACTTCAGTTAAGCATTTGCCCCCCAATGTGTGATGTAGCACTTTATTCCATTTTGGCTTGTATAGATCTCTTTCAAGTTAGGACATGTTCTCTAGTTATAGCATTTTGGGATGTTTGAGAATGAGCCTGTGCATCTTCTTTCCAATTTTCTTCATGATTCTATAGTCTCTTTTATTGTAGATTCAAACCATGATCTCTTTAAGTCTTTTTCATAATAAAACCTATTAGGCACTTTGGTACTGTACTCCTCTGCATCTTTTCCAGCTCTTTATAATTTCATGATGTAGGATACCCTGGACTTTCTCTGGATTTTCTAGCTTATATATACTACAATTTGATGTTTGTTTATCCCAAACAAAGTGTGGCATATGTGAAAAATGCATGATTTTAGGGCATAGAAAATCTTGGATCTTCCGTTGATCAGACAGGCTTTGTGACTTTGGGAAAGATATTTAACCAGCCACTTCCAGCATACATTTCTACATTTGCAAAATGGAGATAGCAATATTTACCTTCAATCTTTTTGAAGATAAACAATTTGGCATTTAAAAGCTGAGTATACTGTTTTGAAGAGTAGATGCTGAGAAATTTAGAGGAAAAGAAAAAGTTCCCATTCTTGATTATAATTTTCAATAGCGAAAGACAGAATTTAATTAGATAATTATTTTAAAGAAGTGCTTTTGAACTTTGAACTAATGTGAGTTATCTTGTTTGTATTCATTTAATCTATTTCAGTGTGTATTTAAGAACATTGAATTTATATGTTTTTAAACATAAAAATAACTAAACTTAGAACCTTGCATATTTATAAACATAAGTACATAGGTTGTGGGAGGGATCTAGAATTCACCCACTATCTTCTGTTTAATGTTTAGATAGTGTTGACACCTCTCAGAAGCAAGAGTTATGGCGAGAGAAATGGGAGAGAAACAACTTGCCAAGCAGAAGCCTCTCTCGGCGTTCCATCAGCAAAGAGCGATGGGTGGAGACATTGGTGGTGGCTGATACGAAGATGATTGAATATCATGGAAGTGAGAATGTGGAGTCCTATATCCTCACCATCATGAACATGGTATGCCAAGCTTCATGCGAGGAGGGGCATCTGGTGATTAGAAGGCAATAGAAATGCTCACTCCCACCATCACCAGTAAAAGAAAGACTTTTAAAAAACATACATATAATATATACAGGACCTTCACAAAGCTCATGAAAAATGTGTATTGTGAAAAAACTATGCATGGATAGAAAAAACTATACTTGGATATTTTTGCACCAAAATAAACTATAACTCCATTTTTTTCACAAATGTTTAGAAGTCCATATACATGTGCATGTGTGTGTGTGTATGTGTGTGTGTGTGTATAAATGTTTTTTCTCTCTCTGCCTAATGAATAAGGGTAGAAACTCAGGACATACCAGTTTTCCTCTTTAAAATATGCATCCTGGGAAAAATTTGTAACATATCACTTACATATATCTACTAGATATTTACTGTATTTGCATAGCTACTGTTTTGGGGCTGACTATATACTAGTGTACAAATGAGTAAGAGCAAAGAACTAGAACATGATTTTCTCAAGGTCGTTAAAGCTAAAATGGAAATCACATTAATGACCCATAATTTCATGCTTTCTCTTTACATATTGTAAAGAGAGGGTATTAGTCCTGTTAAGTTAGGAAAATGTATTTGCCTGAGTAACTGATAATAAAAAATGGGAAGACCCTAGGCTAGGGAAAGGGCCAAGAAAAGAAAGACTTCAACCCCTCAAGCATATAATCATCCTGAGAGATTATCCTTAAATTCCATAATGTGGATTGGGCCATGGACATATTTCATTCTTTGTTCCACCAAAAATTCCCAGTCTATAAGATAATCTTTATTTTAAATGCATTGCAATGTTACTTCCCCCTCTGGCATTTATGTGTTATCTATTTATATGGGCTTAATGGTTTCCCTCTTACTCCAGGTCACTGGGTTGTTCCATAACCCAAGCATTGGCAATGCAATACATATCGTCGTGGTTCGGCTCATTCTACTTGAGGAAGAAGAGGTAAGGAGTAGTTTTCCCTCCACTCTCTGTCCTGTGTCCTTACCCTTTAACCCCCTTTATTCAAGAAAGCTCTTGCTAGACA